CGCACCTGTAGTGAGTTACGACGCGTCCGCCAGTAAAATTTTCAGGTCGATAGATGCAGTATTACTATCAAAACACTTGGAGGAACCGAGGTTGTATAAAAACAGAAAAACTCGATTTTTCGAGTTTTTCGTTTCTCGCCTCAGAAGCTTTCTCAATCTGTTCCGACGATCGCTGTGCAAGAAAAGAGCTCTACGAGGTTCCCGGCGGTAACCAGGTTGACGGTTTATCGCCGGTTCCAGTTGGCCCACCCGGCTGAGGCGGACAATGTGACAACTTTTGGGTGGTTTTGCGAATTTCTGAAAGATATTTGACAATTCATTTTGAGAAAGCAGATTCTCACTCTGAGCTTTGAGGTATTAACTTTGCTCCCTGAGTTGCTCAGCCTTCTAGAAATATTTTTAGTACCAGTTCGCTTGGAGGAACCGACTTCATGTTAATAACTCCGAAAATCTTAACTTCAAGTTTTTGTAGAAAAGCTCCCAGAAGCTCTCGCTTTGATTCTGAGCTCTCTTACGATGCAAGGAGCTCTACGAGGTTTTTGGCGGTGACCAGGTTGACGGTTCACCGCCGGCGCCAGTCGATGAGCTAGAGGAATTTCGGCGCGGAGCTAGAGAAGGCATTTCTGATCATCAGACTGCCGAGTCACAAAGGCAAAGGCATTAGGCAAGATGCAGAAACAAGAAAAAAATGCAGCACGACATGTGAAACTTGATAGGGTCCACTGGGAGCCGGCGCTAAACCGTCACCAGGTTTCCGTCGGGACCCTCGTAGAGCTCTCAACAGACCAAGTCGGTTCTGAGATAACAGCAGAAAAACGCTCCTGCATACCAGCTTCAGAAATCAAGAAATGTTGTTTTCGACCGAACACATGTTGGTTCCCCCAAGTCTTTTGATCGAAATAGTGCAGCTAGCGCCATTAGGATTGCACCATCGAAGCGCCATGATTCACTGCATAGAATGAAAATTTAAATTTGCCAAACGGAATTTTCTTGGCGCCGGGTCAACCTCCTCGCCACCGGGAATCTCGTAGTAGAGCTGCTAACACGCGTAAGAGTGCTCTGTAGCACACGAGAGGACTTCTCGAAGCATTTCTCGGAAAAAAAACATGTTTTTTTTATGTCGACATGAAGTTGATTTCGCCAAGTGTTTTATTAGTTAAAGTCCGTTTGAGTCTTAGGGCTGAGCTGTCGCAGCATGTAGGCGGAATCGGCTGTTTCGATACATCTTCGTTGTCGATTTTCTGCACTCAACTCGAGCTGACGAGGCTTCCGGTGGTAACCTGGTTGACGGTGTACCGCCGGCTCCCAGTTGGCCGATCTGGCCCGAAGGGTGATCTTGGAAGACTGCGACGAATTCTGGCGCGGTGTGCAGCTAGTTGGCGTTCTTGGCCCCGACGGACAATTTGTGAACTTTCGGCCAGCTGGGCGAACATTAAGATATTTGAACATTTGCTTCAACAACGGTATTTTTTTCGCACCTGTCATGGGTTGTGCTGCGTCTTCCTGTGATTTCCAGGTCTCCAGCTGCAATATTACACATTTGGCGGAACCGACCTTCAATAACAACAAAAAACATTTTTTCGAGCTTTCCAACTTCTGCTTGATGAAGCTCCTTCCATGTGTTCCGAGCAGCGCGTGCGATCGCATGCGGTTCTCCCGCTCTGGGCAGCGTTTCGTCGCTCCGTAGGGGGCGCCACCGAAGGCCCGCCGCAGTGGCGGAGTTCGCATGCGGCCCCCCCTCTCAAGGCTCATGGAGAGCTCCACCGAAAGCGGCGCCCAGAACGCGTTACAAACAATTGCTGATGGTTGGGCCCTTCGCCAGGATAATTTCAGAGATCACAGTGCCCTTCCTGATCCTATCCCTTCTTCTGCTTCGCTTTCTTCTTCCTCGTCCTCCTCCTCAGCCTCCTTCGTCTTCTTCCGCCTCACTTCTCCTTCTCCAATCCTTCTCCATAGATCGCGCCCTCGCGCGCCCGGCGGAGGGCGCTCTGTGGAGGGATGTGCCTCCGTTGGCGGCTCTGGGTGGCCGTGGAACACGTTTTGGGTAGCCTCTTTCTTCTCTAACCTGTTCCTACACCTTTGCAATTTCACATGTCGTGCTGCATCCTTTTCCTTGCTCCTGCATCCTATTCCGATGCCTATGCCTCAGTGGCTCGGCAGTGTGATGATAAGAGATGCCTTCTCTAGCTACCCTGTGCTCCGTTTGGGAGTCTTAGGGCTCAGCTGTCACAGCTGTCCGCGCCCTGACTCAAACTCGAAAACCAAGGTTGCGGAAGCGGAGCTTTTTCTTGCGTGCCCCTTCCTTGTGCGGCATCATGACAGCGCTGTTTTGTTCGATGAGTTCTGTTTCGACCAGTTGGAAAAGAAAAACAAAGAGAATCAAACTGGCGATTTGTAGACAAGCTGTGTTTGATGTTATGCAGTTTAATGCTCGTGATCCATATTTTGTGGCTGATCCGAATACTTCCCCCGCGTTTGGCTGGTTTGATAGCCTCGATGATTGTTCGCGAAACCCATGCCCGTTTCAGGGGAACTCGGAGGAGCAGGTTAGTGTATTGTTGAGTTCCTTATCGGTGCCAACTGCTGGGCCAACTGATCGTGGAGAAGCTTTCTCGTCTCATTCGGTTGGGTATTCTCCAGATGTGGTGCAGTCTCCAGATGGTGGGCTGCAGTCGAGACTGGGCTCTGTTTCTTTTGATCCTGGTGTTCAGAATGAGGAGTTGCAGGACGAGGAGTTGCAGGATGAGGGTTTGCAGACTGAGGGGGTGCTGAATGATAAGTTGCATTCTTCTCAGCATACTGTTTTCTTGGATTCAAGCTCTGAAGTTTGCCACGCTCCATTTCCTGACACTCTGTCGGCTTCTGTTGACCCAGGTGTTCGGAAAGAGAGTGCAGGATGAGGAGGTGGCTAGGATGAGGAGGAGCAGAATGATAAGTTCTGAATGAGCAGGTTGCATTATTCTCATCATACATAGTATATGGCTTCACGCTCTGAAGTTTTCCACTTCAGCTTCTGACGGTGACTCAGCTTGCCCATGATAAGGGATGGCAGGGGATCTTAAGGATTCAAGGAGCGAGAGGAGGATAATGTTCATGTTGAATCCGTAGAACTCTCCACTACGGCAGTGGTTGCTGCTGAAGAAGCGTTGCTTGCTTCTCAATCAATTGATGCTGTACTGCACTCAGTTCCTTTGGATTAGTCTCTGCACTCAGCTCCTTTGGATTATTCTCTGCACTCAGCTCCCTTGGATTATTCTCGAGTGCAAAGGGAAGGTGGAGGCCCCGAGGCGCTGCCGTTGGCATCCTCGAAAACCCGCGGAGAGTGCGAAGTCGACCAGCGTAAAGATAACTGTGCTTCTTCTTCCCGGCTCTGTTCAGATGAGTTGCAGAGCAATCGATCTGAGTGTCAAGCTGCCAGGGACTGGGCCCGTGCCAATGGCGATGCAGTTGCTCTATGGCGGGAATTCGAACGGCTCCCCGAAGACGAGTTTCATGCTCGGATCGAGGCGCTCAAGGCATACAAACTTCGAATGGGAATTGAGAGTCCCGAGGAGGCGCCGAGTCCAGAGGGGGATGCTGGCCGCGGGAAAGGCCGGAGGCACCGCAGAAACAGGAGGCGGGCAAGGGCGGAGGCTCAGGCAGTTCTAACTGGCTCTTCTATGTCAAAGTCGGCCCATCCATCCACTTGCGATCCTCCCCAACCTCCGTCCTCTTTTGCGGACTTGTGCAGTTCTTCAAATCACGTCGAGTGCGCCGGCGCGGCTACCACATGGGTGCTCCAGAGGCACATCGCGCGCCTGCTCGTGGCATGCCACCTGCAGAAGGAGGGCGCTGATTGGGATGCGGTCTTCCACGCATGGGATAAAATGGCCACCCTGCGAGAGAGGGCAAATTTCTATTTGAAACAGGCTGCTCTGCACCGTCTGTGTGAGGCTTACCACCGTGATGGGGAGGAGGACCGGGACATCCACGACTCTGGGAGCAGTGTCCGTTGGACAAGATAAGGATGAGCACCGTTGCGGGGTGGTGCTTCGGACATTGGCGTGCTTATTTTGTCAAAATCAACTCAAGTATGTGCTCAACGGTTTGATGGAACAAAGCGTTGCAGAGTCCATAAAAAAAAAAAAAAAAAAAACAAATATGGGGGGGGGGGGGGGGTGGGGGGGGGGGGGGGGGGGGGGGGGGGGGGGGAAACATTAGGAACCTTCGTGTAACCTTTTGGCCTCCTCATCATAAAGATTCTATGGCTTCACACCCTGGGAGTTCCACGACTGGGAGTTTATCTAATGCAGTTGTGAGTTCAGCAGTGACGAAGGGCGAGGAGAAAGTAACCACGCAGATTATTTGCTTCAGTTGGCGTGGTATATTCCAAGGATAAAGGAAATTCGGCTTCCTCGCAAGTCTGCTGGTAAAGAAAACAGCTCGTTCACGAACATCTTTCACGGCTGCCAAGCTGTATCGCCTTATGCCTCGGGCCGAGGAAAAGGCTGTTTTTGCTGACAACGCTCTCGGATCGCGCGAAGACTTGTCCTCTCTATGAATTTGACCCATCTGTCCGATCTATTTCTGAGACGTTAGTCACCACTAGACTCGTTCCCAAAAGCGTTGCGGAAGCTATGAGATACGTGACGAATTTTCAGGATGAATGGATGCGTCGCAATGTAAAGAACTACCGCGAGTTGGCGGCCAAGGCGGGATACCCAATTGATTGATTGATTTAGTGATTGCACATAGGCTGACATGGTTGGCCAGAACCAGAAATTGATACGTTGTATTCCATACTTCCCTCATTGAACATGCGAGCAAAACAAAACTAGACGGCCTCCGTGGATTCTTCGACGGAGGTCGCTCTGTGGAGGGATGTGCTGCAGAATGGTGTTTAGGTTTGTGTGTGCACGGGGCGTGGCTGTTCGTGGCGGAGGAAGCTTTCTCGCTTGATGTCTCTGCTTCTGTCGTGTTCTGTGTGATGTTTGCAGCGCGACGGCTCTGTGTGGCCGTGGTGCACGTTTTGGGTAGCCTCTTTCATCTCTAACCTGTTCATATACCTTTGCAATTTCACATGTCGTGCTGCATCCTTTTCCTTGTTCCTGCATCCTATTCCGATGCCTATGCCTCAGTGGCTCGGCAGTGTGATGATAAGAGATGCCTTCTCTAGCTACCCTGTGCTCCGTTTGGGAGTCTTAGGGCTCAGCTGTCACAGCTGTCCGCGCCCTGATTCAAATTCAAAACTCAAGGGTTGACGGTTGACCGCGGGCTCCAGTTAACTCACCTGGCCTGGGTGGACAAGGTGTGAACCTGGGGTGTGTGCTTTGAAGATTTAATATTTCGCATTTCGTTCTGCAGCCAGTATTTTTCTCGTGTAGCGAGTTAGCCGTCTGCCCGTCGAATTCCCAGGGTCCGTAGCTGCAGTCTTACTGTCGAGGCACGGGCTTGACTCGTAAAGCAGGCGGACACCCCCACTGGGGCGTGAAGCTCCCTGTGGGGCCACGAAACGCTGCCTTAGGTGGATGAACCGCGTGCGGACACCCCAACGATGGGGGGGGAGGAAGGAGAAACGCGGGGACCTGTCTCTTCAAAACGATGACCCAACACTACAGGATGGTTGGGAAAACGTATTTTTTAAATGGGTCCGAAACAATTATTCGTACTCAGCTAAATGTTAGCGATAATGGTAACTGTCTTGAGATAGTTTGAGCTGCAGGTCAGCTACAGAGCTGTTCGGCACAGCCATCAAAAGGAAATCACCAGACGCGCTAGTCTCAAGTATCCGGATGCCCGAATTCGTTACCCTTCCAGAGTTGGAACCAGAAAACTATTCGTACTCTACTACATTTTTCACAGATGACGATGCCTTTCTTGATCCTTTCCCTTCTCCACCTCCTCCTCCTCTCCTCCTTCTCCCCTTCCTCGCCCTCCTCCACTGGGAGCCGGCGGTAAACCGTCAACCTTGGTAAGCGCCGGGAGCCTGCGGAGCTTCCTCGTGCAATAGGGTCGCGGCAATCTCGCATTCCTCGCGCGCGAGGGTGCGGCTTCATGGAGCGTTTTTCTGCTGTTATCTCAGAACCGACTTGGTCTGTTCAGAGCTCTACGAGGGTCCCGGCGGAAACCTGGTGACGGTTTAGCGCCGGCTCCCAGTGGACCCTATCAAGTTTCACATGTCGTGCTGCATCTTTTTTCTTGTTTCTGCATCTAGCCTAATGCCTTTGCCTTAGTGACTCGGCAGTCTGATGATCAGAAATGTCTTCTCTAGCTCCGTTTGAGTCTTAGGGCTGAGCTGTCGTAGCATGTAGGCGGAATTGGCTGTTTCGATACATCTTCGTTGTCGGTTTTCCGCACTCAACTCGAGCTCACGAGGCTTCCGGTGGTAACCTGGTTGACGGTTTACCGCCGGCTCCCAGTTGGCCGATCTGGCCCGAAGGGTGATCTTGGAAGACTGCGACGAATTCCGGCGCGGTGTGCAGCTAGTTGGCGCACTTGGCCCCGACGGACAATTTGTGAACTTTCGGCCAGCTGGGCGAACATCAAGATATTTGAACATTTGTTTCAACAGCGGTATTTTTTTCGCACCTGCCTTGGGTTGTGCTGCGTCTTCCTGTGATTTCCAGGTCTCCAGCTGCAATATTGCACATTTGGCGGAACCGACCTTCAATAACAACAAAAAACATTTTTTCGAGCTTTCCAACTTCTGCTTGATGAAGCTCCTTCCATGTGTTCCGAGCAGCGCGCGCGAGAAAAGAGCTCGCCCGGCGGTAACTTGGTTGACGGTCTACCGCCGGCTCCCAGTCAAGATTTTTGTTCCCTAGGATCGAGAATGACGCATTTGACGACACAATTCTCAGTCCCATATGGGGGCTCCACCGAAGGCTCCAGTGACTGCTCGCATGCGGTTCCCCTACCCAGGGCAGCGCTTGTCTCACCCAGGGCAGCGTTTGGTGGCCACATAGCGAGCTCTACCGAAGACCCAGTGGCGCAGTTCGCGGTTCCCCCACCAAGGTGGTTCGAGGCCCAGAGGGAGTGAGGGTCCTAGTGGGGGTGTCCGCATGCGATTCCCCCACCCAGGGCAGCGTTCCGTGGCCCCTTAGGGAGCTCCACCGAAGGCGCCAGTGGCGCAGTTCACATGCGGTTCTCCCGCTCTGGGCAGCGTTTCGTCGCTCCGTAGGGGGCGCCACCGAAGGCCCGCCGCAGTGGCGGAGTTCGCATGCGGCCCCCCCTCAAGGCTCATGGAGAGCTCCACCGAAAGCGGCGCCCAGAACGCGTTACAAACAATTGCTTATGGTTGGGCCCTTCGCCAGGATAATTTCAGAGATCACAGTGCCCTTCCTGATCCTATCCCTTCTTCTGCTTCGCCTTCTTCTTCCTCGTCCTCCTCCTCAGCCTCCTTCGTCTTCTTCCGCCTCACTTCTCCTTCTCCAATCCTTCTCCATAGATCGCGCCCTCGCGCGCGCCAACATTGCGCGGGGAAGCTCTAGGAGTTCCCGGCGGAGGGCGCTCTGTGGAGGGATGTGCCTCCGTTGGCGGCTCTGGGTGGCCGTGGAACACGTTTTGGGTAGCCTCTTTCTTCTCTAACCTGTTCCTACACCTTTGCAATTTCACATGTCGTGCTGCATCCTTTTCCTTGCTCCTGCATCCTATTCCGATGCCTATGCCTCAGTGGCTCGGCAGTGTGATGATAAGAGATGCCTTCTCTAGCTACCCTGTGATCCGTTTGGGAGTCTTAGGGCTCAGCTGTCACAGCTGTCCGCGCCCTGACTCAAACTCAAAAACAAGGGTTGACGGAAGCGGAGCTGTTCTTGCGTGCCCCTTTCTTGTGTGGCATCATGACAGCGCAATTTTGTTCGATGAGTTCTGTTTCGACCAGTTGGAAAAGAAAGCAAGGATAATCAAACTGGCGATTTGTAGACAAGCTGTATTTGATGTTATGCAGTTTAATGCTCGTGATCCATATTTTGAGGCTGATCCGAATACTTTCCCCGCGTTTGGCTGGTTTGATAACCTCGATGATTGTGCGCGAAGCCCAAGCCCATTTCAGGGGAACTCGGAGGAGCAGGTCATATATTGTTGAGTTCCTTATCGGTGCCAACTGCTGGGCCAACTGATCGTGGAGAAGCTTTCTCGTCTCATTCGGTTGCGTATTCTCCAGATGTGGTTCAGTCTCCAGATGGTGGGCTGCAGTCGAGACTGGGCTCTGTTTCTTTTGATCCTGTTGCAGGACGAGGAGTTGCAGGATGAGGATTTGCAGAGTGAGGAGGTGCTGAACGAGAAGTTGCATTATTCTCAGCCTACTGTTTTCTTGGATTCAAGCTCTGAAGTTTGCCGCGCTCCGTTTCCTGGCACTCTGTCGGCTTCTGTTGACCCAGGTGTTCGGAAAGAGGAGTTGCATGATGAGGAGTTGCAGGATGTGGGGTTGCAGAATGAGGAGTTGCTGAATGAGCAGTTGCATTATTCTCATCATACATATTATACGGCCTCACGCCCTGAAGTTTGTCACACTTCAGCTTCTGACGGTGACTCAGCTTGCCATGATAAGGATTGGCAGGGGGATCTTAAGGATTTCAAGGACGAGGAGGAGGATAATGTTCATGTTGATTCCGTGGAGAGTTCTACGGCAGTTGCTGCTGAACTGCCCTCGCTGCTTCCAATCAATGATGTGGTACTGCACGTCAGCTCCTTTGGATTCATTCTCTGTCACTCAGCTCCTTGTGATTATTCTCTGCACCAGTTCCTGGGAGATTCTCGAGTGCCAAGGGAAGGTGGAGGCCCCGAGGCGCTGCCGTTGGCATCCTCGAAAACCCACGGAGAGTGCGAAGCCGACCAGCGTAAAGATAACTGTGCTTCTTCTTCCCGGCTCTGTTCAGATGAGTTGCAGAGCAATCGATCTGAGTGTCAAGCTGCCAGGGACTGGGCCCGTGCCAATGGCGATGCAGTTGCTCTTTGGCGGGAATTCGAACGGCTCCCGAAAGATGAGTTTCATGCTCGGATCGAGGCGCTCAAGGCATACAAACTTCGAATGGGAATTGAGAGTCCCGAGGAGGCGCCGAGTCCAGAGGGGGAGGCTGGCCGTGGGAAAGGCCAGAAGCACCGCAGAAACAGGAGGCGGGCAAGGGCGAAGGCTCAGGCAGTTCTAACTGGCTCTTCTGTGTCAAAGTCGGCCCATCCATCTACGAGCGATCCTCCCCCACCTCCGTCCTCTTTTGCGGACTTGTGCAGTTCTTCAAATCACGTCGAGTGCGCCGGCACGGCTACCGCATGGGTGCTCCAGAGGCACATCGCGCGCCTGCTCGTGGCGGACCACCTGCAGAAGGAGGGCGCTGATTGGGATGCGGTCTTCCACGCATGGGATAAAATGGCCACCCTGCGAGAGAGGGCAACTTTCTATTTGAAACAGGCTACTCTGCACCGTCTGTGTGAGGCTTACCACCGTGATGGGGAGGAGGGCGCGGACATCCAGAGACTCTGGGAGCAGTGTCGGTTGGACAAGATAAGGATGCACCGTATTGCGGGGTGGTGCTTCGGACATTGGCGGTGCTTGTCATTCTACTCAAGTTGTGCTCAACGGTTGATGGAACAACGCTTGCAGAGCCACATTAGGAACCTTCGTGTAACCTTTTGGCCTCCTCATCATAAAGATTCGATGGCTTCGCACCCTGGGAGTTCCACGACTGGGAGTTTATCTATGCAGTTGTGAGTTCAGCAGTGACGGAGGACGAGGAGAAACGTAACCGCGCAGATTATTTGCTTCAGTTGGCGTGTAATTCAAGGATAAGGAAATACTGCTTCCGCAAGTCTGGCTGGGTAAAACTCGTTCACTCTTTCACGGCTGCCACGCTGTATCGCCTTATGGCCTCGGGTGCCGAGGAAAAGGCTGTTTTGCTTGAAGCGCTTCTTCGGGATCGCGCGAGACTTGGCCCGATAGCCAATTTGACCCATCTGTCGACGGATATCAGAGACGTTAGTCACCACAGACTCGTTCCCAAAAGCGTTGCGGAAGCCATGAGATACGTGACGAATTTTCAGGATGAATGGATGCGTCGCAATGTAAAGAACTACCGCGAGTTGCCTGCCAAGGCGGGATACCCAATTATTGATTGATTTAGTGATTGCGCATAGGCTGACATGGTTGGCCAGAACCAGAAATTGTTACGTTGTATTCCATACTTCCCTTATTGAACATGCGAGCAAAACAAAACTAGACGGCCTCCGTGGATTCTTCGACGGAGGTCGCTCTGTGGAGGGATGTGCTACAGAATGGTGTTTAGGTTTGTGTGTGCACGGGGCGTGGCTGTTCGTGGCGGAGGAAGCTTTCTCGCTTGATGCCTCTGCTTCTGTCGTGTTCTGTGTGATGTTTGCAGCGCGACGGCTCTGTGTGGCCGTGGTGCACGTTTTGGGTAGCCTCTTTCATCTCTAACCTGTTCATATACCTTTGCAATTTCACATGTCGTGCTGCATCCTTTTCCTTGTTCCTGCATCCTATTCCGATGCCTATGCCTCAGTGGCTCGGCAGTGTGATGATAAGAGATGCCTTCTCTAGCTACCCTGTGCTCCGTTTGGGAGTCTTAGGGCTCAGCTGTCACAGCTGTCCGCGACCTGATTCAAATTCAAAACACAAGGGTTGACGGTTGACCGCGGGCTCCAGTTAACTCACCTGGCCTGGGTGGACAAGGTGTGAACCTGGGGTTTGTTTTTTTGAAGATTTAATATTTCGCATTTCGTTCTGCAGCCAGTATTTTTCTCGTGTAGCGAGTTAGCCGTCTGCCCGTCGAATTCTCAGGGTCCGTAGCTGCAGTCTTACTGTCGAGGCACGGGCTTGACTCGTAAAGCAGGCGGACACCCCCACTGGGGCGTGAAGCTCCCTGTGGGGCCACGAAACGCTGCCTTAGGTGGATGAACCGCGTGCGGACACCCCAACGATGGGGGGGGAGGAAGGGGAAACGCGGGGACCTGTCTCTTCAAAACGATGACCCAACACTACAGGATGGTTGGGAAAACGTATTTTTTAAATGGGTCCGAAACAATTATTCGTACTCAGCTAAATGTTAGCGATAATGGTAACTGTCTTGAGATAGTTTGAGCTGCAGGTCAGCTACAGAGCTGTTCGGCACAGCCATCAAAAGGAAATCATCAGACGCGCTAGTCTCAAGTATCCGGATGCCCGAATTCGTTACCCTTCCAGAGTTGGAACCAGAAAACTATTCGTACTCTACTACATTTTTCAGAGATGACGATGCCTTTCTTGATCCTTTCCCTTCTCCACCTCCTCCTCCTCTCCTCCTTCTCCCCTTCCTCGCCCTCCTCCACTGGGAGCCGGCGGTAAACCGTCAACCTTGGTAAGCGCCGGGAGCCTGCGGAGCTTCCTCGTGCAATAGGGTCGCGGCAATCTCGCATTCCTCGCACGCGAGGGTGCGGCTTCATGGAGGAGGACTGGAGGAGAAGAAGGAGTGAGAAGAAAGAAGATGGAGGAGGGTGAAGAAGAGAAAGCGGAGAAGGAGGATAAGCTAAGGAGGGCGGAGATCCAGAAAGGATCGTCACCTCTGAACTAATTAGTAGAGTGTGAATATTTTTCTGGTCCAACTCTGGAAGCGGAACGAGTTCGGGCATCTGGATACTTGAGACTAGCGCGTCTGATCATTTCCTTCCGATTGATGTGCCAACCAGCTATGTAGCTGATCAGCAGCTCGAGTTCTCTTAAGCACGTTACCATCAGCTCTCTAGAATGTAGCAGAGTACGAATGGTTTCCCGACCCAGCTCTGGTAGCAGACCGAGTGTGGGCTCTAGATGCTTGAGACTAGCGCTTCTCATTATTTCCTGTCGACTGCTGTGGCAAACAGCTCTGTGGCTCATCTCGATCTCAAGTTGAGTCAAGAAAACACTCATCATCCCAAAAATATTAGCAGAGTACGGGTAGTTTTTCGGACCCAGCTCTGGTAGCATACTGAATTCAGGCATCTAGGTACTTTAAACTGGCGCGTCTGATGATCATATTCCGATTGCTGTGCCACGCAGCTCTGTGACTCATCTGCAGCTTGAGGATGATGAGGATGCTGATTCTGATCATGATGTTGAGGCAGATGAGGATGAGGAGAAGGTGGGGGAGGAGGAGAAGGGCGAGGAGGAGGAGGAAACGAAGGAGGAGGAGGAGGAGGGGGATGAGGATGCGGGGGGGGGGGGGGGGTCAGGAGGATGAGGGGGGGGAAGAGGAAAGGAAAGGGGGGGCGGGAAGAGGAGAAGGAAGAGAGATTGAGGAGGATGATAAACGAGGAGGAGGGGATGCGGATGAGAAAGAGAAGGAGGTGTGAGACGAGGAGGAAGGGGGAGGATGGGGAGAAGGAAAAGGGAGGAGGAGAAGGGGGAGTGCAGGTGAAAGGATGGACGAAGATGAGAAGGCGAAGGAGGAGGAGGAGGGGAGGAGGAGGAGGGAGGAGGAGGAGGAGGAGGATATGAGAAGGGAGGAGGAGGAGCAGGAGGAGAAGAGGAGGGGAAAAAGAAAAAGGAGGAGGAGGAGGAGCAGGAGGACGAGGAGGAGGAGGAGGAGGAGGGGGAGGAGGAGGAAGTGGAGGTCATGAGATGAGTTTAATGCTACTACTAATCGTAGCAGTAGTAGTAATAGTCGTAGTAGTCGTAGTAGTAGTAGTAGTAGTAGTAGTAGTAGTAGTAGTAGTAGTAGTAGAAGTAGTAGCAGAGTAGTAGTGTCGTATAGTAGTAATAGTTAGTATAGTAGTAGTAGTAGTAGCAGAGTAGTAGTAGTGGTAGGTTGTGGTTTGTTAGTGGTAGTAGTAGTAGTAGTAGTAGTAGTAGTAGTTGTAGCAGGAGTTTGTGTAGTAGTAGTAGTAGTAGTAGTAGGTAGTAGTAGTAGTAGCAGTAGCAGGTGTATAGTAGTAGTAGTATTAGTTTAGCAGCCGTGGTAGTAGTTGCTCAGTAATGGTAGTGGTGAGCGTAGACGTCGTCATCGCCAGTGTATTTAGTGTAGTAGTAGTAGAAGTAGTTAGTAGTAGTAGTTGTAGTTAGTAGTGAGTAGTAGTAGTAGTTGTGTAAGTAGTAGTAGTAGTGTATAGTATCAGTTGTAGTAGTAGTGTTGTAGTTCGTAGTAGTCGTAGTGTAGTAGTTCGTAGTAGTAGTGAGTGTGGCAGTAGTAGTTGTATGTAGTGTAGTTGTAGTCGTAGTAGTAGTAGTAGTTGTGTTAGTAGTTAGTTTTAGTAGTAGTAGTTAGTAGTAGTGAGTAGTAGTTAGGTGTTTTAGTGTAGTTTGTAGGTAGTAGTAGTAGTAGTAGTTAGTTGTCGTAGCCAGTAGTTGTATAGTAGTAGTAGCCGTAGCCGTAGTAGTAGTAGTAGTAGTAGTAGTAGTAGTAGTAGTAGTAGTAGTAGTAGTAGTAGTAATAGTAGTGGTAGTAGTGGTAGTAGCAGCAGCAGCAGTAGTAGTAGTAGTAGTAGTAGTAGTAGTAGTAGTGGTATTAGTAGTAGTAGTCGTAGTCGTAGTGGTAGTAGTAGGTCACACCCCCCGCTAGGCACTTCCCCCAGAGAGGGAAGGGGTGTGAAACCTACGTCTTGGTTCGTGGTTCGTGGTTTGTGGTTCGAGGTTCGCGGTGTGTGTTTTGTGGTTTTTGGTTTGTGATTCGAGGTTCGTGGTTAGCGATATCTTGTGGTTTGTAGTTAATGGTTCGTGGTTCGTGGTTCGTGGTTCTTGGTTCGTGATTCGTGGTTTGTGGTTTGTGGTTCGTGGTTTGTGCGTTGTGGTTCGTCGTGATTGGTTCGGGGTCGACGGCGTCGCGCAGTGCGAACCGCGAACCACAAACCACCAACCGCGAACCACAAGCCACAACTCACGGACCACGAACCACAGGCCACAAACCAGAAATCACAAACCACGAACCTCGAATCACAAACAACGAACCACGAGCCAGAAACTACAAACCACGAACCACGAACCACGCATAGGAAGGAACAACGCCGCTCCCCCCCCTCCGAAAAGGAATTTCAGGGAGGGGGAAGAGTTCGTGCTCCTCGTCCAAGGGAAGAAAGGTTTTGGCGGGGGGCAGAGCTTGTGGAGGCCTCTTGGGGCGTCTTGGGGACTTCAGGGCGTGCCCGGATGCGTCTTTGAGCTTCTTGGGTGTCCCAGGGTGCCTCTTCGGACATCGTGGGCCATCTTGGGCCTCCTATGGGGTCTCCTTGGGCTCTCTGAAGCCCTATTGGATGCGTCTTGAGTCAACTAGAGGAAGAAGCAGAGTCGTAAGTGCAGTCTCCCCTGACCACCTGCGCTCGGATGGCTGTTGGGATCCCAGGGCCCGTGCTTCAATCAGATTCAATCACCCATGCTAGTATGGCTTCCACGAGACTGGCGCGAGCGTTCTCCTCCTTAATTCCTTCTGCTGCTGCTGCCGCTGCTGCTTCTCATCTTTGCCTCGTTCTCTTCTTACGCGGGCGGGAATTGTTTTTTGGGGGTTGTTGGAGGAATCCTACGAACCTCCCAACAACCATTCGTAGACCTTCCTATGGAAGGCTGTTTTTTTTGGGGGTCTTTTGGAGGAGGCCCTCTTGGAACCGTCCTGGGGAAGTTTCTGTTTAAAATTTTCGTTGGAGTTGTCCCTACACGCGGCTTTCACAAATCATCATGAGGACGGTTCTTGGGCGGTTCTTTACTGGGTTCCATCCAAACATCTTCCCGAGGAAGGCTGGATGAAGGCTTGGAAGAATTCCTCGACCAACCTTTCCGAGGAAGGGTTCTAGAACGTGGATCTTCGAACCGCCCTGGACCCTCGCCCCTGGATCTTCCGTTTCCGATCGCCCCTGGGTCTTTCGATCGGGGCCCATGGAAAGAAGGAAGTGGGGGCAAATCATGGATAGCGTCCTCAGTCAACAAGCCTCGACCCTGGATCTTCGAATGGTCCTGGACCCCCGCCCCTGGAAGTTCCGTTTCCGATCGCCCCTGGGTTTTTCGATCGGGGCCCTTGGAAGGAACAGGAAATCAGGACAATATCCTGAATAGCATCCTCGTGCATCGAGCCTCGACCCTGGATCTTCGCATGGCCCTGGATCCCCGTTCCTGGATTTTCCGTTTCCGATCGCCCGTTGGCTTTGCGATCGGGGACCCTGGAAAGAACAGGAAATGGGGACGCGAGCAAGTAATGGGGGGATCGGACGGGGAGGGGAACTTGATGAGGGCACGATCGAGGGAGGAACGGCGAGGAAATGGGAAGACTTGGAACTTTGACCCCCCATCGATCCTCGAACTTCGATCGAGCTGTGATCCTCGATCTCGCAAATTGGACATTGGACCATCCATCCTCGATCCGGTATGTCCCTCTTCCCTATCCTCCTCATTCTCCTTCCCTCCTCCTCCCCTCCGTCCACCTCGCCCCGCCTTGTCGTCCCCGTCCATGACCCGCGCGTGCCTGCGCGGCGAACCGAAGTTGCCTCCAAAGCGACCCCGTGAGCCGAAAAGGAAACGACCACCGCTGCTGACAGCCGTGCAGGCACCAGGTGGGAAAGGCAGCGGCCGCTGCTATTAGGGGTGTTCGGACAATCTCCAACGCGATATAGAAGCGCGCTTCAAGGGGAAAGCAATACGAATCGATAAGATCGAGGATGCCCCTGGACGAGGCGACGTGACAGCCGCAGCCGACGGGGCCTGTTTTGCCTCCACCTTGTCTTCGTCGTCGGCGCCGACGTCGCGTCGCCCTCCTCTCCCCCCCTCTTCCTACCTCCTCCTCTTAATTTTTTCCTCCTCCTCCCCCTCCTCCTCCTCCGCCTCCTAGTCGGCGTTGGGGGCTCAGGCGCTTTGAGGGCCGACGTATTGAGGAGTTGCTGACAATCTTTTGCAACAAGCGCTCCGCAATCACATGTGCCATAGAGGGGGCTAGGGGGGCATGGCCGATGGATGGCGATTG